TTGATTGGTCAGATGAACCTGAGTGGGGAAAGGCACTATGAGAGTAAAGTGTCTTGCCTAAGAACACCACAAAATGACCCCTGCCAGTTCTCGAACCTGGGGCTTTTGATCCAGAGTTAAAAATGCTAACCGTTTAGGCCACCAAATCACTGAAATACTACTACAGTCACTGATACAAATTTTTTATAAGTAAATATCTGGTACAAAATGTAGAGCAGTATGTATCCTAAATCACAAAGTTTGACACTTTCAAGGAGGAGAGAAAATCAAGGAAGAGGGAATTATGAAATCCAAGACTCGCTCGGACCTGGATTGAAACATTTTGTTAAACAAGACTGATTGTGTGACAAACATACCTGGTCACACAACATGGCTAGAACAAATAAACCAAAGAGACAGCCCTCAATCATCAAAATGACAGTATGGATTCTGAAAAATTAATTTCCATTGTTAGTATAAGAAACTGGTATCTATCAGGGTGGCAGTAGGAATAAGAGAGATGTTGTGTGAAATGTGATGAGGGCAGAAATTAGTGCATGACGCATGAAAAGCAACTAAAATACATACATGGCTCATGAATTTATGAAAAAAAAACTTTTGGTAAAAGTAGCTAAAAGCACATATGACCCAAATTGTGTTGCAATTTGCGCCTGAAACTGGATCATAACCTGCCCCCTTTTTGTTACCCTTAGATAACTGGCTATGTTTGGAAATAATTTGCGGTGTAACAATCAGGGGGTTCAGTGTAAAAGACAAAAATAGCCAAGACAATTCATAAACACGGTTAGTAACAGTTACTAGCTTAAAGGTGTCTGTTGTCAATTTTTAGTTTGCAGTGTTAATTTTTCGGTTCAATGTTGAAAGCAAACATTTTACCAGTAACTGGATACTCACAATCTTGTTCTCTTTTCATACTCTCTAGAACAACCGTGACACTCCATTGTCCATGACACAGCAGTGAGAATTATACAATATAATGATGCAAGACCTACAAAATGGGAAAAAAAAAGATATCTTAAGACAGTAATTCTCACACACAACTGGGAGCCATGTCAAGCCAAACCATGCAACAAAAGCGCATTGATGCCAAAAAAAGCATTGATCAATGCAATATTTTTAGGCTAATTGCAGCTATCCATTCACTTTGTTAAATCATGGCCGGTCAGTCGTACATGTTAACTAATCATGTTTGAAACCCACAGAGATCTACAAACTCCACTGAACTCTACTGAAAGAAAGGCCGTTTTTTTCTTACATACTTTGTCATAGAGTTTAGGAACTGTTGAAATAGTTTACTAACCTGTGTAAAAAAGAAACAAAACAAAATACTTCTGATTGGCCTCTCCAACACAGTTGTTGATCCTAAAAGATTTTTACAGATAAAAAATTTACAAATTCACAAAAGATAAATATATTTATCAAAATTGAAGGCTTCAAGAATTCAAGGACACTCAATTATGTTTAATTGCAGTAAAATAAATTGTGAGGTGCACAAACCAGGGACAATGATGGTCCATTTTCCTTATACACCTTCCACATGTCCTGAAAATGGACATAACAGCTGATGAATATAATATTATTGTTTATTAATTAAATTACTTTAATCAATGATGGAATATGTTGCTCAAGTAGTACATGTAAGTGTACCTAGTTCTTCTTGTTGAGAACAAAAATTGTTTGCTTGTCTGTTCAGGCAACACAACTTTTTTAAAACTTATTTTGTATTCTAGATAGCAAAATGCAACATGTTAAGAAATCTATTAAACAATTAGATTATGAGCTCAAGATTTCTATTGCAGGATAGTTGACGAGGGCGCAGCCCCAGTCAACTATCACGCATAGAAATCGAGAGCGAATAATCTAATTGTTTTAGTATAAATCCACTAGTTGTTCAAAACGTTATCTAAATCCTCTTCACAGACACATCGAAAACGAAAAGAAGTCGCCGTCATTTTGTTGACTAGGGCGCATTGCTACGCTACTCGCTATCTATCACAGGATAGATAGTGAGTAGCGTAGCCAATCAGAGAACAGCATTCGTGATAGAACGCTAGTAGATTTATACTAATACAGAATAGATGTAACTTTGCTGCATGCTGCACTCAAATGTCTGTGTCATCTGGTAAATATAATCAAAATTATTCACAATAGCCTTGACTTTGGACTTCGTTTGGGAGGCCGCCCCTCTGTTGATGATTTCGCCGTACGGTCTTGGGCTTCCAAGCAGAGAAGTCCACGCTCTTTAAGCAGCAGTGAGCCCTCCACCGGGTGGAATGAGAATCTGCCTGCACAGCCGAGACGTTCTATTGTTGATCTTTCGCAGTCTGGTGGTGGCGAGAACAGAATCCCTGCACATCCTTGGCAACAATATTCTCGCATGACACGGGGTTACCCACCTGGATTGACGATGAGGGAGAACTGGCGCGAACAGCGGCCCCCACGAGCAGCAATTCAGAGATCAACCAACTACTGCAGCGACTAGGACTGGAAAAATACGTACCATTGTTTGAGGTATGGTTGAAAAATGTAGCTTAAATTGGTTTGTAAGCCGTCTTAATCTTTCTCAGTTTTAACCATCCTTGCTATTTTTGGGGGTTTATAATTGCGTCTTACTACCTTGATGAACAATATATTTTTTGAAGTTTGCTGCGATTTAAGGATTACTGCGATGTTAAAACCGTGACACAAAATTAAGTAATATATGCTATATCGAATCACGTTTTGTAAGGTATAAAGTTATCTTCAAACAGAATAAAACTTCAAAAACATCCAAGAAGTAATATTAATCCGAAAGGTAACAGGATTGGTCAAGATAAGAGAAGATTTTAATGTTAGCAATCAATCTTAAAGGGCGAATTGTTAAACGCCATCCTTCCAAACCGGAAACCTTCAGTAATAGGGAAATAAAATCGGTTGGATGAATCCTTAAGACGGAATCCACCAGAAGTTCGAGTAACAAGTGGCCAAAAACCTTGTATCGTCTAAAAAATATTATTTCTAGCAACACCAAGCGTCGAAAACAAATGTTGAACTTCGCATGAAACACTTGAAAGTACTGGTGAAATGAAACTGATGATGAAATATTACCTGTGCTTGCACAATTTCTCAGAACTTTGAAATTTATTTTCTCTCGTTCCCATGGGAAATTGTTTTCGGTGTTATTTCAGGCAGCTATTTATATCTTTAGCTTTAAGAAAATGTAAAAAGGACTGTGAAATACTTCAAGTTATTCTGGTACCAGATTTTTGTCCACTAAAAGCTGAAATTGCTCGATTTTCTATCGGATTTTGTCTTAATCCTTAAAATGAATCATTAAAACAATACTATTTGCCTAATGATATTTTGTGTACCCGTTTCAGGAGCATGGCATCGACGGCGTTCAGCTCTCTCAGATGGTGGAGGAGGATTTGGAAAATCTCGGCATTCCTAAGGTTTTTGACAAACTTGTAACCCTTTCGTTGATTCTGTGCGTTTTCTGTTTTTGAGAGTTTTCTATTGGTGGAATTTGTTAATCATAACTAACTTGTCTCATCTTGCTTGCAGGGCCCACGGTTAAAGCTACTGCATGGTATGTTTATATATGATTCAAAATATTTTTTTCTTTTTCATATGTACGCGACGCGGACCTTTATATACCATTCATGGCCTCTGTTTCACTGCGGCCTGAGTCCAAAACACTGATCATCATTTTTGTGTTTTGTGTGTCGCAGGTACAAGATGGTCGGGTGGAAACTTTCAGACACCAGGGAATGGATTTGTCAAGACGGATCCAACCTCAGCCATCATTCAGTCGAACAAAAAACCCAACAAGATGGAACAACAACCACTGTTTAACAACCAGAACCACATTCTTCAACACCACAGTGATGCTCATCTCTCTCCTCTAGGACACAAAAAACAGGCCTTGAAACAACCCCTCCACCCCTCAGTCTTACAACCTCTTAGTAACCACGGCAACCAGCATCTGCTGTCCCTCATGACGTCGTCTGGTCGAACGCTGAATCCTACTCAGCACGTTGGGATGGGGAGTCAGAACCACGCGAGTAACCACGCGAGTGGTCACGCGAGTAATCTCCCTCCTCGCCCACACTCAGCTTCTGGAAATATGACTAATAGTCAGGGGTATGTTCCGGTCGGTTCCCACGGGGATCAAGCGATGCCGGGGGGTTATGTTGCGCAACAGGGGCAGTTCGTGAACCCCATTCCGTACACGCAAGCCCCTCAGGTATTTTATCCCGGCGGCTTTTACTACTTCTACCCGCAGCAGTAGAAGGCTTTTGTCTTGACACTTAATTTATTGATTCAAATCATTAGCCTCTTCTTGACACTTGTAATTTATGATGTATACGCGATGAAAAGTTGTCGGGGATTTGTGAAAAAGAACCATTAAAGAACAAATGTTTAGATGTAGATTCGATATTTAGTGAATGGACGCAAGGGCCTTGGTTGATGTTTGAGAAAGAAGACCTCATTAAAGTTCACTTATTGAATATGCAAGTTGTTTGTAGTTGTTTTGAGGCTGAAATTTAGGTTTTAGAAATCTACTCACTCTGAACTACGTGTAGCTGTTTTGGCAATTGACATTTATATTACCTTCATATCCCGGAAAGAAAACTGGAAAACTAGTTGAAGTCGACAACCTGAGGTAAATTGTGAAAAGGCGCCGAGCGCTTTGTCGACTTCGCCATCCTTGCCGTCCTCAATATAAAATGATTATGAATCAGTTTTTTTTTTTCAATACTCTTCTAATCTTGCTATTAATTCGTGCCAGCGAACGAAATCATAGGAGATGTCCATCTTCGTCGTTTAGCTATAGCTATGTAACGTAACGTAACGTAACGATTATCATGGACGTGGCGTGCGATTCGTTATTTTGCGCCCTGAAGCAACGCGCCATGACAACTTTAGTAAAGACACTACTGCCTGTGGTGAAGAACATCTCCACTTCTTCCGCTATACGTTTATTATAGTAGTTGTTCAGCAACAGATGGTGGTTGTATTTTCACATGTTATGCTGGTCGTAGCGGCATTGCATCGGATCAACCCGAAATCGGAAGCTTTCGGAAATTGTCGTTATTTCGGGAAACGCTCGGGTAAAGCTTGGAAAGGTTTCGTGTTGTCTTCGTAGTAAGAGTAAGGGAACCAACCAAGACCCAGAGCTGCGTGATTGCTTTTATAATACTCTAGGTGAAAAAGTTCGTTAGTTCTCGTAACTAGTCTGGAGAGAAAATTTTAACACGTCATAACATTGACCGATAAAGTGCACGCCTTTCGGGAATTCTAATTAATCGAAATTGAGCGGTTCGGAAATATGGAGTTTCAACAATAAATAAACACCAGAGGGACGTGCACTTTCATGTTCAGAAGCAAACGGAACTTTTCAATTTACACGTCAGACGTCTAAGAGATTAGTATGATCTTTATCTACCAGCGAGAAAATTATGTCGAAACCAAAAACCCCTGAAAATTGTAGCAACAGATCCAAAGAGACATCCTGCGTTTCCGCGAAAGTGTTTTAAAACCTGTTTTTACTTGGTCATCTGCAAGACTCGCAAAGTTGAGCTTTAGAAGTAAATCTTGTCAAACTTCCTCATGCAATGGCTTTGTCCATGACCCAGGCCCGCTGGGTGACCTATGAACGACGTATGGCACGTAGCTCCGCTTCAAAATGTTTTGAAAAATGTAGAACTTTGCTGTATTTACAGGATTACATCCAAAAAAACAAGACAAAACAAACAAAGGAGAAACACCTCAGTTGATGATGAAAAAACGTGCTTCCAAATTTATTGAAGGAACGAGTGTTTCTTCGAAGCTCTTTTCTCCGCATTCCTATCATGCTATTCCTCTTGAAATCAAACTGAGTTGATTCCGTAGCCCCCCC